TACGTTACAGAAAATGAGTAGGATTTCAAACCACCGAGGTTAAACAGAAGCACAGAATGATGAAAATTAGTTTTTCAATGGCAAATATTTTTCTGGCAGTAGAGAATGCAGTGACTCTCTTCAGACCAGACACCTGCAAACAATAGGAAGCCACAGGGGTTGTCATCTTTCTGTTTTCTCATTGCTCAGAAAGAAGGATGAGAGGAGCGGGGCCTGCCTCCTGCAGGCAGGAAGTGCGCAGGAAGACTGTGTGTGGAGGTGGGGGCAGGTCTGGGAGGTCCAGGTGGGCAATTCATTCCAAAGTGAAGAGCGGACAGAGAGAAGACTTAGGGCAAGCAGAGAGAGAATCCAGTAAAGCTGGAAACGGATTAGAGAAAATCACAGAAGGACCCATTGAACCCTAATTTCTGTGGTTTTTCTGATGAAGGTGTGGTGTTAATGGTTTCAGAGTTAATCAGAGAGCCATGTGTCTTCATTCTCAGATATAAACCAGATGAAAACAGACGTCCCACTTAAGTGGTATTTTAGTGACACAAAGGCTGAAAGGGGGGGGGAAAGATTTGCATAGTAATGACTCGATCATTGCTTTAAAGCTGCACAGTATTTTCAGAGCCCCTAACAACCACCAAATCAGGAATTCAAACCACACCCTGGGAAGGCTGGGCTTCCTTTTGTTAAAAAGAAAAACTGAGGATCTCTGAGGTCAGTTACCCAGGCAGTGCAAATCAGAAGCCCTGACTCCCCTCTAACCACTGGAATATTTGCCATGTGGACCTACACCCACCTAGGACATTGCCAAAACCCCAAGAAAGTACCATGACTGAGATCTGTGTCTTTCCCTGAGTACTATTTCCACAGAAAGCTTCTGAGGTCTCTTCCCTGACATTTCACAAAATAGAGCAAAAGGAGAGGAAAAAATATGCCTGAGAAAAGGCCAAGTGTGAAGAAGAATTTGATTTTGGCATCCCCTTTAAAAGTTGTTACTCTACTTCCTCAACCCATGCGAGGCTTACTGTCAAACCAACACCACGAAGAGAATACAGCTCCTGGTTCTACAAAACACGTGCTATGAGGAAAAGCACAGATTAGAGGGATAAGTAATAACAATAGTTAATAATCAGTAAATTCCTACTATGTGCCAGACGTGGTACGAGGAATCTTACCTATAAAACTCATCAGATCCTGACAGTGATTTTATGAAGCTGGTACTTTTATCCCTCCCATTTAATCAATGGGAGAGCTGAGGCACAAAGAGGTTATGTAACTCTCCCAAGGTCACACTAAGAACGTGGCAAAACCAAGATGCCCCTCCAGCAGTCTGATTCCAAGGCTCATATGCTTAAGCACTATGTGTATGGACTCTTAAAGTGAAATTAGATATAACAGCACTTTTACATTAAACTTTTCCAGAGAATAAGAAAGAACACTTTTCAACTTATCTTATGAGACCAAAATAACCTTCACTTGGAAGAGTGACAAGAATATTACAAAAAAGGAAAATTATAAGCCAATCTCTCCTGGAAAGATAGAAGCAAAGCATACTCTACAAAATATTAGCATCTGATTTCAGAGAATTCTTATAAATAAATAAAAGACAACCTGATGGAAAAATGGGATTTCACGGTAGATATCCAAATGGTAAGTAAACATATTTTTTAAAGTGTTCAACGTCATTAGCCGTCAGGGAAGGGCAAATTAAAGCCATGGCATGTCCACCCGAATTACTAAAATGAAAAAGATTGATAATATCAGGAGTTAGTGAGGATGTAAGATAAGAGGAACTCTCACACATCATTGATGAGAGCATAAATTTGTACACTTTTGAGAAGAGTCTAGAAGCATCTGCCGAAAGTGAACATTTACATACTTTGTGGCCCAGAAATTCCACTCCTACATTTATACTCAAGAGAAAATCGTATATGCACCAAAAGACACAAACAAAAATGTTCACAGCATCTTTTTTATTTAGGAAACAACCTAAATATCTATTAACAGTAGGATGGATAAATAAATCGTGTTATATTTATACCATGAGGCACTATACAGCAGTGAAAATGAAATGTTGCTGTTCACAATTACTTGAATGAGTCTCACAAATTATAATGTTGAACAAAAGAAGCCAGACACAAAGAGCACATACGTTATGATTCCATTTATATGTTCCACAGAACAAATCTATGGTGATAGAAGTCGGAACACTGCTTACATCTGGGAAGAGACCACAGTGACTGGTAACAGAAAAAGGAAGGTGCCAGGAATGTTTCATTTCTTGACCTCGTCATTGGTTACATGAGAGCATTCACTCGATGTTTCAGGTATAGTTTGGGAAGGAGCACCTTGGTGACAGACGTGGGCTAATCCAAATTCATGGTATGTGTTAAGTGAACATGTTTCAACCAGATGAGAAAGACATTAAGCAGAATTGACTTCAAAATCAACTAAACATTCATTGTTTCATTTATTGAGTATCTCAAATATGCCTGGAACAATGCTAAGTCCTGAGAGTAAAAAGATGAAAAGACAAACTTCCTATCAGCAAATTGTTCACAACCTAACTGAAAGAGATGTGGAAAAATAATCGATTTCAAACCATAGTGTGCAATCATGGAATTGTGCAAATTGTTCTGAGAATTTAGGGAAGCCAGGGAAGGATTTCCAGCAGCGGCAACACTTTAACCTCATAAGGGTTTTGCAGGTGAAAGGGCCGGACGGGGGGTGCTGGAGGGAGGGGGGGTCTGGGAGAAATATTTGGCTCAGAATTGACAGCATTTGCAAAAGAGACACCGAGAGACAGTACAGTAAATTAAAGGAATGTTGGCTATTTAGGCATGACTAGTGCTTAAAATGCAAGATCAAGAATAGTGGGAAGTGAAGGTGGGCAGGTAAACCTTTTACTCCATCTTGGGTTTTTATCCTGGGGCACAGGGGAGCTACTGAAGAATTTTTTTTTGAATCCAGTGTGAAGGATAGATGGGAGGAAGGTAAGACTGGAGACTGGAAGATTAGGTAGGAAGTTTTTGCAGAAACTCAGACATATGTGTCAGGTTTTACCATAGTAATACACAAAACAAAATCTTAGCAGCTTATAACAACAAAAATTTGTTTCCTCCAAAACCTTTGTATCTTACAACAACAAGCATTTATTTTTTACTCATGGGTCTGTTGGTCAGCTGTGGGTTGGCTTTAATTCAGCTGGGCTGTGCAGGGCTGCGTGTGGCTTGGCTCCAGACATGGCAGCTCATGTATGCTCCATGGGTCTCTCATTTTGGGACACAGGATGAGGGAGCAATGGCTTCTCTGGGCCATGCTCTTCTATTGATGGATGACAGGAGTGCAGGGGAGGTGGGTAGGAATATGTAATGTCTCCTAAAGCCCCTGCTCAGAGCTAGCACACTATCCCTACTGCCCACACTACACTAGCCAAAGTCACATGGCCAACCTCCATGTCTAGAGGACACAGTAGGATTCTCTACCCATAGGGTGAGGAAGGGGGCAGCAAATATTTGCTGAACATATTAACTCAACCTACCATACCAGGCAAAAGATTATGAACACCTAAACCAAGGTAGATGGAGTAGGAATGGACAAGCGCGGTCAGGAAAGCTGAGAGCATAGCCAGAGTCTGGGGTCCCCAGCTAGTTGGGATGGACAGGGATGGACTGCCTCATCAAGATACGAAGAAACTAAGTAAGAAGCTTTAACTCCGGGAAGTGTCTGAGTAGAGTTGGGTCGTCAGTCTAAATCAATTCACTGATTGGAAAACATTAGGCCAAGACGAGAAATACAAGGATACACCTCTCAAGAGGAGCTAATGGAAGAGAAGATCACAATGAGGCGGAGGAGCAGGGTCAGTGACAGTGTTAAACTGCCCTCAGTTCTGTGGCGATGGGCATCCTGGGAGTCCTCGAAGGACAGCCCCAGAAGAGAAAATGACAGAACTGAAGTAGGACGAAAGGGAGAGGAATTCAGGATGACTCCCAGTTTTCTAGTCTAAGCGACTGGGAGGGCACAGGTGTCATCTGCTGATTCTGGAACACAAAAGGAGAGAGAAGACGGTAAGTTCAGCTGGGTTCGGTTTTTAGATTTGAGCCATCTAGGTGGACATACCTGTGGGAGAGCTGAATATCAAGCTAGAAGTCTCCCTTGTGTCTTTCATCTGTTTCCGCATATGAAAACACCCTCTCTCTCCTCTCTTACTAGCCAAAGTCTTAAATGTTCATGATCATTTACATTTCTGTGCTGCCTTTCTTCGAGCTGCTTGCATTTAGGATTAGCATGTCTCATTTAACCCTGATCATTTGTGTTATACTCACCCCTACACACACATTAATCATGTGGCCTAAACTAAACTATAAATTCCATGAGGACAAGACTTTGTATGTCTTTAATATCTCCTACGGAATTCAGCACAGTGATAGGCAAAAACCTAAATTAAAAAACTAAAAAATGAGTTAAAAAAAAGAAACGAAAAAATGCATGATGATTAACTACCTCAGTGAAGAAGAATAATCAATGACTATTATCCTAAGTGACGATGTGGTACCACTGTAAAGATCATTTTAAAAGATATCTTAAAAAGGGTATCTTATAAATTTTCTTTAAAATAGCACTGTTTTGGGGTGCCTGGGTCGCTCAGTCGTTGAGCGTCTGCCTTTGGCTCAGGTCATGATCCCAGGGTGCTGGGATCGAGCCCTGCATTGGGCTCCCTGCTCAGCGGGGAGTCTGTTTCTCTCTCTCCCTCTGCCCCTCTGCCCGCTTGTGCTCTCTGTCTCTTTCTCTCTCAAATAAATAAACAAAATCTTAAAAAAAAAAAAAAAGAAAAGAAATACCGTTACAATTTTAACTTAGATGCATGTTGAGTGGCAGATGGAAAGTCAGCCTGGTGTAAAAATTAGGCCAAACAATCAACAGTATCAAGAGTTCACAATTTAGATGGTCAACTATTTTGCAGTTTCTTTCTAAGAAGACACCAATCAAAAGAGATAATATATGTTGCAAATGTAAAAACACCAAGAAATGCTAAATATTTTGTAAAGACATGGTTATGATTCTTTACATCAAGTCACTATTCATTTTACAAGAAGAGAAACAGAGGTACATTCGATAAGCTCAGGGTAACACCACTTTTTGTTTTGGGGGCAAGGATAGAAGACAGGTCTCTGACTTCCAGACCAGAGCTCTAAGACCAACGAAGTATAAACCCCTAACTAGCTGCTGGATCCCAGTAGGGCAAGAAGAAAAGATATAGTTGGGGCAGCTAAAATTAAAAGGAATGTTTTGAACTCTTTTAGTTCTTTTTTTAAAGGTAGGCTTCAAAAAACTTAATTTTGTGAGGTATTCAACAGGGACCTGGAAAACTGCTCTTAGCATTTTAACATAAATTAAAAATCATTTAAGCAGACCTCTTTTCAGCTCTTGCCAACTGCACATTTATTTTTCTGGTCAAGGAGGCTTTACCATTGCAAATGAAGAGGAAATGAAGGCTTTAGAGCTTGGGCATATCAGTTAAAAAAAAAAAAAGGAAGTGAATGTGGATGTTGGATTAACTTCTCTCATATTCGCAATCCCATTTATCTGGGCAAGGAATTTGCCCCCCAACAAGGTACTCTTGAAAACATTCTCTGAAAAATTAGGTTGCTGTGTAGAATCTGGAGTTGCTGCAAGTGTTTCTTAAAAGCTCATTAGCCCTCCAGAGAGCTATGAAAGTAAAACAGCTCCAGACCTAATGAGAGCTCAGTAAACAGGTTTCCACTGCACCTGTATTGGGAGACGGGTGACCTCCAAGGAGCCCGGAAGCTTCGTTCCATTTTGGACAAGCAACCTCAAGAGTGGGGGATGGGAAATGGGGAAATGAAGGATAAAAACCTTACTTGCTAATTCTAAACATATGTCGCCTGCACATTGGTGAGTTCAGGTTGGCAAAGGGTAAAATAAAATTTCATTGAACTGCTTTCTTCAGTGACAGCTGTATTTGTTGATTTTTCCACTGGCATCCAGCTTTTGGAAGCTCCATTTTCCTAATTTGGGAACAACAGAGGGCAGTCATTGCTCATGTCTGAAAACAACTCTTGACATCCATGTTTTCGTATAGAGAAGACCATCTTCTGTGAGCCTGCAAAACATCAGTCTCGCTCAGGCATAGGGTGAAGAAATTTATATGCCCACAGTCTGGTGGATTCAAAGTCACCACCGACTGTACCTCTCCCTTTCCTTCTTGGCTTCCTCCATTTCCCAAAGCACAACCAGCAGCTAAATAGAATATGGCATAAGAGGTTTCTTCTCTACCCATTTCCCCCTATTAATAGAACATGGCAGAGGAAAAACTTTGTGACTGTCAACTCAACTGCTAACCTAATTAAAGATGGCCCATTTGGAGTCAAAAATCAATCAGGAGCCTGTTCCATCAGAAGAAGGAAGGGGAGCTGGGAAGGGACTTCAGCAGTTACTTGTCATGGAGTTTGATAATCACATGCACCAGGAAATTGCACGTACGTAGAAACTGCGGAGAAGACAGAATACAACTAATATAGTCAACATGCTCTTTTTCACTGTGCTTAAGCTAAGATTGACCAGGAAGTAAAGCAAATTTGTGACTATTTTATTATCTCTTTATTATGGTTCAAGTACTTCCTATAGCAAAACCTTATTCATTAAAAATAAGCTCTAAGGCAGTAAGTTCCCCACACTTTTCCCATTGAATCTTGCCCCAGTAGGTTGTGGGAGAACCCAACTTCCCAACTGTAGCCCCATTTAAAATACTATAGATTTTGTCCTCTTTGAAGGCACAGGGCGAAGCTATTGTCCAATTTCAGCAGTCTATCCTTGAAGGGCATCATCCATAATCATTTCAGTATTTAGCACAATATCTGCCAGAGTGTTTGTGGATGTATTTCCATTTGTATCAGCAAATATTTATTGAGAATACCCATTGTCAAAATACTTTATTAGTATTACATGGGCTATAAAGATGATTAATCGATGACCCCTATTCCCAAGGTCTTCATCCTGCAGAAGAAGGTGAGGAGAGATGTACAAATTGCACAGTAATGCCAGGTAAAATAAGAGGAGTATCATGAGAGAAGTACCAAAGGTGAAGGAATTTTATTTATTTATTTATTTATTTATTTATTTATTTTAAAGATTTTATTTCTTTATTTGACAGAGAGAGAGACACAGCGAGAAAGGGAACACAAGCAGGGGGAGTGAGAGAGGGAGAAGCAGACTTCCCGCTGAGCAGGGAGCCCCATGCGGGGCTCGATCCCAGGACCCTGGGATCATGACCTGAGCCGAAGGCAGACGCTTAATGACTGAGCCACTCAGTAGCCCCAAAGGTGAAGGAATTTTAAAGAAGGGAGAGGAGGCATCTCTTTCTGGAGGCCAGCAGAAAGTCTGACTAGAGGAAATGGTGTTTGAGACAGCAGTGACAGATCCACAGGATTTCTACTGGCAGGGCTGAAAAGAGGAAACAGCTTGGTGGGATGAGTACAGAAAACAACAGGTCACAGATTCTCCAGTTGTCCTGTTTGGCTGGGGAAGAGGAGATACAAAAAGAAAAGTGAGGGCTGGCGCTGGACAGGTCGATTCAACCAGCCGTGTTTTCTCCAGATGCAGGGTATGAATGCATTCAGTATTTTCTACTGCGTATCTGCTCACAGCCCTTTCTATTCTACATCCTGCCCCCATCGGCCCGATCTAGAAAGCTAAATATTCTATTTGTAAGACTCCGTTGCAGCTAAGGTTTCATAGATGACTTCGATTCTGGTGAGGAGATGTACTCTCGTGAAATTTGGAGAGCAGAAAGGAGGATGGAAGCCAGGTTTGCACAGCGGTCACCACTGACAAGATGGGAAGTTGGGAGGTCATTTCAGGGAAGCTCTCAGGAGTCCAGCCTTCTGAGGTCAGTTGATAGCGCCTTCAAAGGCAAGATAAGCCACTGCATCTTGAATCCAGCCCTCCTCCACATGGTCTCAAATCCTCCAGCAGCTTACTGAGTGGAGGACTCAGGGGAGGAAGTGGAAACACGTGAGGACCCTTCCAACCTCTTCGTGAGTCCAGTTATCTATTATCCTATTGGCCAGACAAATCTTATGGCCAAGTCAGAGTCAGGGTCAGGGTACGAAGAGACTACAAAGTTATGAGTCAAACTATATGGATACCTGCAGGCCATTTATTGGGGGCTGTTAAAAACAATAATCTACTGAACTGAGTAAAGGTTAAAGCTGCCAGTTTTGAGTAGGGCCCAGAGTAAGACAAGGCTCTGCAACTAGTCCAGGCTGCAGTTCAAGCAGCTCTGGCTTTCTGACCCAGGATATCCAGTCATATTTAAAATGTCTGCTAAAGATGCAGCCACAACACGAGTCCTCCAGCAAGCCGTGATAGGACAATCCTCAAGTTTCTGGAGCAAGATACGCCCTCTGCAATAAGTAAGTATTTCGAGGAATAGTCTCGGGCTTGTTACTGGGTCCTAGTAGTGACTAAATGCCCACTCTTAGAAGAGGGAGTGACCATAAGCTCTGAACTGCCAATCAAACTACCAGAACTATAAAGTTGCAGAATTGAAGAGGCCACTGGGTACAAGCAGATACTGAAATTATGGAAGTGAGTGACTCAGATGCGCATGGCACCCACTCCTGCTATGCTGCAACCTCTCCCCAAACGAACAGCCTTTGCTTTATGAGGAGTTAGTTCCCTATAACCAATGGCTGCGGAAGGAACAAAAAAATGTCAGGCTAGTTTGTAGCTTGGCAAGATATGCCCGCACCAGCTAAAACTGACCTGCTGTACATGAAACCCCCAGTCAGAACTACTAGCCCGGCAGGAGGACAATCAGAAAGAGAAATATATTCAGTGGGCAAAACTTGAAGCTGTGCATCCAGTTCTCCACACTGCCCGAAAGGAGAGATCAAGAGAGGCGTGGATCTATAGCAGTCCATAGGCAACAGAATGTGGTTTGGCCAGATGGTCATGGATGGAAAAGGAACAAACTTAGAGGACTGATGATGAGCAGGTCTAGAGAAAAGACCTGTGCATGGACTCTTCAAAAATGACAGAGAGAGAGAGGCACTCACGGGGGAGAAGACCACCTCGTCAGGAGGAGAAAGCCTGTCCTGTGAACTTCGGTCAGCCTCTTTTCCCACCTGCCCTAGAGCCTGCACAGTGGGCATAGCAACCCCCTGGCCTTGACAGCAGAGAGATGGCAGTGATGGGCGGCTCAGCAACGTGAACTTTCTCTCACTAGGGAAGATAAAGAAAATGCTATACTAAAGGCCTTGCCTCGAGGAAACATTAGGAAACTTTTTTTTTTAAATGCGTGTGTGTGTGTGAATATATAAGGACATACACACACACATATATACGTTCATTCATTCTCAGGGAGATTTGAAAATATTACATCCATAAAACAAAACAGGTATGATATGAAAAATAATCTAAAATTATTTTAGAAATAATTGGAAAAAGATTTTTCGCTTCCACTGGTTGTCAAATGATCCTTTATTGAAACATTCTCCTTTGTAGTTGACTAGCTGGGCATTCCACCGCACCACTGTTGATGTCATCTACAATGTCATGAGAGTGGCGGCCAACAACATTGCAGCCCACAGACTGGGCAGTCCCCAGGATTTCTTTAATGGTTCCAGAGATTTCTCTGGCTAAAGATCAGTGTCGCATCTGTTGGGCAATATTGACAATCTCATCAAAAGTGCTATTTCCTCTGTGTTTAATGTTTTTCTGCTTCTTTCTGTCTCTTGGTGGTTCCTCGAGGGCTTTGATAATCAGGGCAGAAGCAAAAGGTACCACTTCATTCTGGGCCTGTCTGTTCTGAATGGTCAGTTTCACTGTAATCCTTAGACCCTTCCAATCACCGGTTGCCTTGGCGATGTCATCACCCACCTTTATTGGAGACAGACCCAGTAGGCCGATCTTCGGGGCCAGGGCAGATGTGGCACCGACTTCGCCACTGGTGCACCTCAGGCACACAACTTTGATCTCGCTGGGGTCAAACTTAGTCGGCATGGCAGAAGTGGCTGGTGTCAGATGAACCCGGCTTCGGGACAACCGAAGAAAGTTGCACCTTTGCCTCCCTGAGCCGAAAGCCAAAAAGACCCAGAAATAATTGGAAATTTAAGAGCAAATTTATTGCTCTAAAGAATTCAATATAGAGACTGAATAGGGGAAATGGACATAAATGAATATCAAATAGTTTAGCTGGAAGATTGAGAGGAAAGATTATCCTCAAACACAGTCCTATGGCACAGAAATATGTGAGTAGAGAAATGGAGACATGGAGGACAAATGTAGGAGTTCTAACATACGTCTATTAGGAATTTCAGAAGAAACAGAGAATGGAAGTAATTCTTTAAAAATAAAAGAAGGAAATGACCCAAAGTAATGAATCCACAGATTTAAAAGTTTCAAGTAATGAAGAAAAAATGCCTAAGTACATCTTGGTGAAATTTCAGAACTCCAAGCATAAAGTACAAATCCTAAAAATGTCCAGACTAGAATAAGGAGTTGTTTACAAATAAATGAAAATCAGATTGGTATTCACTTTCTCATCACCCACACTGGATGCTGGAAGACTATGGCAGGAAATCAGAGAGAAAAAGAAAAAAATGCATGGTAAATATAATGAAAACAATAAATCCAAACATCATTAATCTTAATATTAAAAGACAGCAAAACTCAGACTGCAGAGACAGGAGGCAGGAACCAGCTATGTGATGATTATAATAGATATTGTAAAAGAAAAATGAATCAAGGGCATCTGGCTGGCTCAGTCAGTAGCACATGTGACTCTTGATGTCAGGGTTGTGAGTTAAAGCCCCACATTGGGTGTAGAGATTATTTAAAAATAAAATCTTAAAAAAAAAAGGAAAATGATGCAGAAAGATTTACTATAAAGAACTAGGAAGATATACTAGAAAATTAATGCTTGAGTACTAATATTAATATCAGAAAACAAACAGGAAAAGATAGACTTAAGAAAAATATTTATATGGATATTGGCATAAATTACATTGATACACTTGCAGAATCTACCAAATGATGCAAATACTGAACAGAATCTGCATTTTGGGGGTGGAGGGTAAAATCCTAAAAATATAGGAACAAAGTATCAACTCAAGAAGCTAAAGAAAGAGCAAGACAGAGCGAGGGAGAAAAAGAGAGAGAGGAAGAAGAAGGAGGGGGAAGAGAAGGAGAATCAAATAAACTAAAAGATAAGTTATTAAGCATAAAAGTAGAAAACACAAATAAGTGGATGATTAATCAAATGAAAATCTAATTTTTTGATGAGTTCTTTAAAAAGAGCAATTAAATAAACAGACTGTCAAATGTGACCATGGTAAAAAAAGAAAAAAAAAAAAGACGATGACTACAACTTAAATAATCAACATTAGAATTGAGAAAAAAAGATGTGGAACATTTTTTTAAAATTATAAGCAAATCAAATACAAATGTGTGTCAAACAAATTTGAAAATTAGTTAAAATAGATTATTTTGTAGGAAAAACTAAGTAATGAAAATTGACTCAAAAAGCAAATGAAATCCTGAAAAAAAACAATAGCTATAGAGGAAATAAATACGCTAAAAAGGGCACAATGCCCAGATAATCTTCTGGGCACATTGTACTAAACCTTCAAAGAACAGATAATCCTTGTATTATTTACACTGTTAAGGAACATAGGAAGAGATGGAAAGTTTTCAGTTCATTCTACAAATACAGCATAACACTGAATCATAACCAGATAAAAATAAGGGAAAAACCACCTACAAACAAAACAAGAAACCCAAAGTTAAATAGAGGCAAAAATCCCAAATAATATATTAGGAAATTTAACTCAACCCTTTACAAAGAGAATTACATCATGAACCAGTTAGTCTTTTTCACAAAAATGCCAGGATAGTTTAACATTAGTGTCTGTCTGTCTTTTAGTGTAATTCACTACCATAAGAGCTTAAAAGAGAAAAGTTGTATGAGTATGTCAGGACATGTGAAAAGGCATTTACCAAAATTAGCAATTATTCCTGATGAGAAAAGTTTTTCTTAAGCAACTTGATAGAAGACATTACCAGAAACCTGCATGATGTTTTCAATGAATCATAAAGAGCATTTCCATTAAAGTGAAGAGTTCTGCCACACTCATAAGTCTTCAGCAGAAACTACTCTGGTGGAACAAGGCAGCAAATCAGGAAACAGGAAGACATGTGATCCAGGAAACAGGTGATCTGACACAGCAGAAAGGCAAAGGAAAGCCCCAGAACTACAGCGAAAGAAAATCCAGGCAGATTAATGTGCAGCAGATCTAGGACGTAAAGAGCAGGAGGCTGAGTGGCCACAGGCAGGACAATTCCAATAAAAAAGAAAAGAAAAGCAGAGACAGAAACTGATAGAACGCTGTTAGGATATAATGAGAAGAGATGTAGATTTCAGGCAGAGTTTTCATATGAATTAGTAATAAGTAGCTAGAAAATTAAGCAAAGAAAGAAACGGAGTAAACTATGAACTCTGGGGAGGGAGAGTTATTTAAGAAAAATAATCGGATTATAGTATACTATATGACTCACCTACAAGTAATATATATAGTCATAAATGTAAACTCTGAATATTGATTTAACCAAAATTGTGATATAATCTGTCTGGGAGAATAGGGTGGTGGGAGGGGTCATTCATACAAGAAAGCTAATTCCTTCTCTTCCATAATAGGAAGTCAGTAGGTAATATCTGAAATTTAAAAATAAAAAAGGCAGTAGCCTAAGCATATTACTTAGAAATGTAAATGTGAAAACTGGAAGAAACAGCTGTAAGAATTGAAAGTGAAGCTACTGAGGGTGGCCGGGGTAGACGGACGCAGCTAGGACTGCTGGGCTTTGTTGTAAGCTCATTCACTTATCTACGTGCATGTATTGCTTTGACAAAAATTTAAATTAAATTTCTTATGTTTTTTAATTTGAGTATAGTTGACAAATGTTACATTAGTTTCAGGTGTACACACAGTGATTCAACAACTCTACACGTTACGCCATGTTCACCACATGTGTAGGCAGCAAATCAGGAAACAGGAAGACATGTGATCCAGGAAACAGGTGATCTGACACAGCAGAAAGGCAAAGGAAAATTTGCCTTGTGTCCCCATGCAACACTATTACAATACCATTGACTACCACGTGTCCCCATGCAACACTATTACAATACCATTGACTACCACTGTCCCCATGCAACACTATTACAATACCATTGACTATATTCCCTATGCTGTGCCTCTTATTCCCATGACCTAGTCATTCCATAGCTGAAGTATCTCCCATTCCCCTTTACCCATTTCGCTCACCCCCTCACCCCCTCCCCTTTGGCAACCATCAATTTGTCCTCTGTATTTATAGGTCTGATTCTGCCTTTTGTTTGTTTATTCACTTGTTTTGTTTTTTAGGTTCCACAAATGATTGACATCATGTGGTGTTTGTCTTTCTCTGTCTGACTTATTTCACTTAACATAATACCCCCTAGATCCGTCCACGTTGTCACAAATGGTAAGATCTCATCCTTTTTATGGCTGTGTAGTGTGTGTGTGTGTGTGTGTGTGTGACCTCTAGATTTTTAGAAAGCAAGAATGACAATACCCACTAGGGATGTGGAGAAATTTATACAGTCCCGGACACTACAAAGAGAGAATAAATTATTACAAGCTTTCCAGAGAGCACGTTGGCAGTAAGGATCAAAATTTCAAATATTCCTATCACCTAGCCCAATAATCCTCCTCTGGCAAATTATTTTGAGGAAAACAACAGTGCAGATATGCAAAGATTCACTTCAAAGGACATTCGAAGCTTCATTCTTTAAAATATTGGGACACTCTCACTCTGCATGTACATTAATAAGGGAATGATTAAGTAGATTATGTACTTCCATACACTGGAATCCCTGAGGGCTTATAAAATAATTGTAGAAAGTAGTGGTTTTCAAATTATGCTTCTGGAAGTCTGTACTAGTTTTCCAGGGCCACCCTAGCAAAGTACCAAAAACTGGGTGGCTTAGAGCCACAGAAATTGATTGTCTCATAGTTCTGTAGAAAGACTAGAAATCTTAGATCCAGGTGTCCAGAGGGTGAGTTCCTTCTGAGGGCTGTGAGGGAAAATATCTTACGTGCTTCTCTCCTAGCTTCTTGTGTTTGTTGCCAATCTTTGGTGTTCCTCGGCTTGTAGAAGCATCACCCTGAGCTCTGCCTTGATCTTTGTGTGCTGTTCTCCCTGTGTGCATGTCTGTCTCTGTGATCAAATATCCCTTTGTCATAAGGACACCAGTCATATTGGGTTAGGGCCCACCCTAATGGCTTCATCTTAACTTGATCATCTGCAAAGTCTATTTCCAGATAAGGTCACGCTCAACAGGTATCTGGGGTTAGGATTTCAACATCTTTTGCAGTTATTGTTCAACGCACAACAGAGTCTTAGAGTTTCTGAGAGTTGCTTCAAAAGCCACTACCAAGGAACTATGGGTCCTGAGGTGATGAGTTCTGGACTTCTCTTGTCACTTTAAGTAGAAATGTTCCCTTCCTTAAAAATTAGTATTCTGAGAGTTCCTATGAAGGAAGGTCCACTATTTTAAAGCATGTAAAAGCTACCAAGTAAAACTATATTTATGCGTGTTTCCAATATATTGCGAACAAAGAGAAGCAGTTTGCAAGCATGTGAACATGTTTCTGGTTCTGTAAAAGTACAAAATCTCTATCTATACTCATATTGACAGTACTTCTATTTCAATTGATATCATTTTTCACTTAAATATTGACAGTGCTAAGAAGGCTACAGTTTTACAAGTGTCCTTCATACTCATCTTCATACTTTTCTGTATTTTCTAGTTTTTTTAAATGACATATCTTTGTGATAATAAAAGACTATAATTCTTTTTTAAAGAGAGGAAGAGGTTACTTATGACATTCAGTAAATAAATGTTGGTGAATTTATTGATACAGTTTTATCCATTTGGCTTGGCTTATAAGAATTTCAAACCAATATAATTTGGATGACTATTCAGTTCTCTCCAAAACATCAGCCCTTGCCATTCAAACCCCATTGATAGAATTGAGTCTGCAAGCCCAAGCATCTATCAATGGATGAACACATAAATAAAATATGGTATTTATAGAGAATGGAATATTATTCAGCCTTTAAAAGGAGGGAAATTCTAACACATGCTACAACATGGATGAATCTTGAAGACTTTTGAGTATAAGCTAAGTGAGATAAGGCAGTCACAAAAGGACACAACGATCTGATTCATATGAGGTATTAGAGTAGTCAAATTCATAGAAACAGAGAGCAGAGTGGTGGCTGCCAGGGGCTGAGGAGAAGGGGGAACAGGAGTTATTGTTTAGGGTACAGAGTTTCGGTTTTGCAAGATGAAAAGAATTCTAGATGGTGGTGACGATTGCACAACCGTATGAACGTACTTAATCCCATTGAGCTATACATTCAAAAATGGTTACAATGGTAAATTTTATGTTATATACATTTTACCACAATGTAAACAATAAAAAAATGAATACGAAAAATGAATCTTCAAACACTTCAAGGTAATGTGTACCTAACATTCATTTTTAATTTCATAGGCTCATTTATTTTTCATTCATGAATCATTATAACCATAACCATCATTTTCATTATTACTATCTATCATCATCAGATCATCTAGAAAACCAGTTGTTTGCTTTATTCTGAAGATGGCTTTTCATTTCATTATAAAAGTAGCACGAATATTTTTTGGTGAAGAACACTGAGAAAGTCCTTATTTGGAATATTTAGATGGTTTTGCCTAAACTCCACGTTCCCTCCCTTGCCCAGGGCAACCTCTTTCCCCAGCCCACCGCCCACCACCTCCCACACCACAAAAAGCCACAAAAAGATTGAATGAGATAATCAGAAAAACCACCCAAGAAAAGAAAAAGGGAGAATCGGTTACATGTTCAACAAGTCAGAGAACGAGAAAACTCAAATCTGTTCCAGTTCTCTAGTTTCACCTTAAAGGCAAGGAACTGTGGATGTTTGTGCGGAGCCCTTCAAAGCCTAAATTCACAACCTCTCCACGCGGGAGGTTACCAGCGTCTGAAGAAAAACAACCACTACCAGAAAAGCTCTTCTTTGTTTTCATTCTTTGCAGTCCGTCAGGAAACTCTTGATAATGTGAAATGTTATTACTGCAAATGTTGGCTCAGGCAAGTTTACTCTAGAGTCTGACTATCACTGACTGTTCACAAAATAAAATCATTTTTAAAGCCTGTGAGGAGAGCCAAGTGCAAACCACAAATCAGAAAACCACCAAGGCGGGCTGGCCTCGCTGCCAGAGTTTAATGTGATCTAATGGGAGGACAACAAGATGTGAGAATTTGATTTTACGATGCTCCATGTAACATTTGGCAATACAAAGGGGCTGGGCCCAACTTCCCGATCCTTAAGCAAACATTTGAAGTAATGTTTTACTTTCTCATCAGTTTTAATTCTGTCAACCAGGGTGTTGAGATTCAGCCTGCCCTATTCATTCTAAAAGTGCTGTCTCCTTTGGGTGGTTATACATTTGTTTAATACCAATTCATGTAAGATGAAGATGGGCAGGCGGGGAAGGGGCCAGGAAAATCGGATGAAGCCATTTCATGGCAGTGGGTCAACTGGATTGCAGCTCTCTTCTGCATTTGTGATTTATTCCATGGGTGGGAGGGCAGGGTTAGGGCTAACTGAAGCAACATTCTTTCACAAGCAAAAGCTAATCTTGGGGAGAGAGACAGATCTGGGTTGGATCAGGTTGCCCAGTCTCACACCAAATGGGATTGAAACTCAAGTGTAGCTCCATTTCCCATCACTTGCTAAAGAAAAAGAAAAAAAGAAATAAGAAATAAAAGGGTAGCAACACCAAAACTCTTCACACATGGCCAATTAACAACCGACGACATTATAGAACAAAGAGGGGCAGTCAGGAAATCCCATAGAAGGGCACATGAACAATGGAAAATAAATCAGAGTCACCTTTCAGGCCTCTTTTGTTTCTATAGTCAGGACATCAGATGAGAATCAGATCTCTTTTCCTCTTCCTACTGAATAATGCATTCCTGACAACACCAAACTCTTCCTTACGTTGTCACTGTATAGCAAT